TTGATACACTAATAGAAATAATGTAAGGTTAAGCATTTAATACATTTGCAAATAAATTTTCCAGTGTTCATCTGTTTATCTCTAGTACATACTGATGTTACACTAAAATCCCCATGCAATTTTATAAACTAACACTTCTTTCATTGATGTATTTATTTACATTTATTTATTGAAAATCTCTTTATTGAAAGTCTCCAATTCTCGTCTCTCTCTGTCTCTATCTCTCTGTTTCTCATCTCCCGTCTTTCTTTCTCTTGACATGGTCTCATCATGTTGCCCTGGTTGGTTTGAAACTCATTATGTAGGCCAGGGTAACCTTGAATTATGTATGAATTCTAATGCAAGATTCTGTATTAAGAGTGACTGAATGATATTTGACAAAATAGAAACTTATGATTATTACAAATTACAAGATTAGAATTATTATAATTAATTTTGGGATAACTTTATTTTAATTAGTAAAAGTACTCATCGGCATAAACTATCCCAATTTAAGAGACTGCTTTAAGAGGGAAAATGTCCATTGCTGGGTTTGGGTTACCACCCCTCAAATTGTTGTTAAGACAATTCAGGCTATTGTATGGACCATTTCTTTTTTTTTTGTTGTTTGTTTGTTTGTTTTCAAGACAGGATTTCTCTGATGCACAACATGGGGCACAAACCCATGACCCTTAAGAGTCTCAAGATATTACTATAATTAACAAGGCTATTCCATGTAATTTATCTGGCTCAGTCGGTAGAGCATAGGACTCTTAATCCCAGGGTCATGGGTTCGAGCCCCACATTGGGAGCCAGGCAATTCCATGTAATTTATCTTGTAATCAAGAGAGGTTTATTTCTGGGATAACTTACAGTTATCCAATAAGGATCTGTATCTGTATCCAATAAGGATTGGATACAGAATCTGGGAGAGATAGGGTACCATCCAGCAGAGCACTCTGGCTTGGTGTCCCATCCAGCTTCTAGGACCACAAGGTATAAAGAAGGGCCAAACATGTATGGACCTCAAGTCTTAAGGGGCTCCCTCTCACCCATACCCCAGGGGCAGGTCAGCCTCAGGGGCAGGTCATGGGCAGGTGTGGCAGTTACTTGCTGTCACTCTAGGGGCAATGTTTCAAGGTCAAAGCTGGAACAGCTACCCACTACATTTCTCTGTGTAGTTTTAGAGCCTGTCCTGGGATCTTGCTCTGTAGACCAAGCTGATCTTGAACTCACAGAGATCCACCTTCCTCTGCCTCCCTAGTGCTGGGATTAAAGGCGTATGCCACCACCTGGCTGTATGGACCATTTCTTTGGGTTGTCCACTGTAATTTGATGGTAGAATTCTCTTGAAGATACCACACACTTTGGTCATAAGACATGGAGAAATAGAGGTAAGAACTAGGAACCTTCCTCCCTGTTCTCTAGTTTTCTGCTTGCTACTTATGCTGCTTTTGGGGAAACGTTATCAGTAGTCTGACCCAGTTGTGAACACTATGAGCTATAATAAGAGCTCAATAGGGCAACATATGCCTATGGATACAACAGTGAATTGAATGTTGAGGGAGTAATCAAACACTTTCTGATTAGATTTAAAGTTGGCTACATAGGAGGAATCACTTGATTAGTACTACTGTAAATCTGGCCAAGTACCCATGGTTGGAGAACTCATAGACTGCCATTTGCTAATAGGTTGACTACACTCCAGAGGATGGCCCCACACCCTACACCCATAAGTATAAGGACAACACAAACTGGACTCACTGAATTATAAAAATAAAAAATTAAAACTGGATTATGAGTAAGGGTGACTCTAGAATGATTTAGAGGGATGTGTAGGAGGTGAACATGATCAAAATGCATTGCATACATCTATGGAATTCACAAAGAATTTATAAAAATATTGCAGTAAAATGTGGAAAAAAATTAACATAGCACATTACTAAAAGACACATACAGATAAATGCAACCTTCATCAAAATATTCATGATGTCTGTGCTAACTAGTTCTATGCCAACTTGGAACAAGCTGAAATCATTTGGGAAGAAAGAACATCAATTGAGGAAACGTTCCCACCAGAATGGCCTACGGGCAAGCCTATGGTGCATTTTCTCAATTAATGATTGTTGTTGAGGACCCAGCACATTGTGGGTGGTACCACCCCTGGGCAGTTGGTCCTGGAGTATATAAGTAAACAGGCTAATCAAGCCTTGAGGGAAAGGCTAGCAAGCAGCACTCTCTTCTATGGCCTCTACATCAGTTCCTGCCTTTAGGTTCCTGCCCTGACTTCCCTGGATTATGGACTAAACCGTTTCCTCCCCAAGTTGCTTTTCCTCATGGTGTTTCATCACAGCACTAGAAATTCTAACTAGGAAAATATTCTTCATAGTACTAGAAAAACTAATCTTATTTTAAAAGATACATGCTAGAATCTTCACAACAAATGAAAGAATGAAAAGATCATAGCATACAAACGATCACGTAGACCAATGGAACAGGACCGAGTACCAAGAAATATATCACCACTTCTTTAACGCACCCAGTCACAGAATGAGTACTGAAAATACATTGTGTAATAAGCTGGGGAAAGGACACCATTGGCTGCAAATGGTGTTGGGAAAATTAGAGAAATGTGTAGAAAACTGAAACTAGACCCCCATCTCCTAACCTGTCTAAAAATCAACTCAAAATGTGTTAAAGGTGTTACTTAAGACTTGAATCTCACACTCTCAGAAGAAAGCAGAGAAATTCACTTCGTGATACCAGCACAGGCAATGAGTTTTTGGGTACAATTCCCAAACCAGTAGAAAAAAATTCAAGAATTGGTAGACAGGATTCTGGCAAATAAGAACATTTTTTTTCCTTTATCACATAGGGAAATAGTACTAAGAGTACAAGAAAAAGCCTATAACATGGAAGAGTATCTTTGCTAGCTGTTTATTTGACAGATAACCAATATCCAGATGAAACAGAGATCAAAATATAAACAATCCAAGGAAAATGTACAAATGATTCTAATAAACACTTCTCAAAAAAGAGCAAAAACCACAAATGCCCAATAAATATAAGAAAAAAAATGCTTCATAGTCTTAGCCATCAGAGAAATGCCAATCTGTATTACATCAGAAGCTCCTTTCACAACAGTGAAAATGAAAATTATCCAAGAAAACCAAAAATAAAAATATTCTGGCAAGGTTGTAAAGCAAAGGGCATGTGCATGCATTGTTGGTAAAAATTTAACATAGTACTGAGAATTATATAGGGACTCCTCATTATCTAAAACCAAAACCTCCATATTTTTTAGCCACATCACACCTGGATACATTTGCAAAGAAAGGAAATCATCACGGGAAAGTGATATCTGCTCATTTTGACTGTGGCTTGATGTACAATAGCTAAATGATGGATTCTGCCTAGCTGCACATCTACAGAGGAATGGGTGTGCTGGATATTGTTATGTGAACTTGATACTAACTAAAGTCATCTGTCAGGAGGGAACCTCAAGTAGGAAAATACCTACATAAGATGGGGCTGTAGGTCATTTTCTTAATTGGCAATTGATAGGAGAGGGCCCAGTCCATTGTGGGTGGGGCCATACCTGGATAAGTGATCCTGGATTTTGTAACAAAGCTGGTTGAGCAAGCCATGGGGAACCAGCCAGTAAACAGCACCCCTGCCCTACTCTGTGGCCTCTCTATCAGCTCCTACCTCCAAGTTCCAGCCCTTCTTGAATTCCTGTCCTGACTTCCTTCAGTGATGGACTATAATATGAAAATATAAGCCAAATAAATCATTTCCTCTGTTTCATCATATCAATAGTGCTGTGTGTGTACATATACATTGGAGTCTTATTTACTACAAAGAGGGATGAAATCCTGCTACATGCCTGGGAATGAATGGAAATGGAGATCATCATATCAAGTGGGAAAAAGCCAGACTCATACACAAATATTGCTTATTATCTGATAGTTGAGAAACTGTAATAACAACAGAAAGGCCCTGGAAGTGGAAGAGGGTCTATTGGGGTTTGGAAATGAACCAGGAAAAGAGGAGAGCGAAGGAAGGTGGGCAAGGGCAGAAGGTAGAAACCATAAATTGGCATGATAAATAAATTGGCAGGAATGCCACAGTGAATCTCATTAATTTATACAATAAACACACAATAACATTCATGTAAAAAAGAAAAAAGGCTGTTGTATTGCTTCTTTACATGGCATTGTAGAAAGGGCAAGTGTACAGCAAAAAAACAATTCATGGAGTCTGGAGTGTGTGAAGGAAGAGGGCAATGTTGATTATAAAGAACCATCATTACAAAGAATGACTTTCAGGCAGATAGGATTCTCTACAGATAAATTATCGATGGAGCTGGTTACACTGTAGATGACATTTGTGAACCTCACACAAGGGTGTCCTAAATGGGTAAGTTTTATCATTTGTAAGCAATATGTCAATAAATCTGACTTTCAAGTAGTACAAATTTATCAACATCACTGATTCTAGGTCAATGTAAAGAGATATTCAACATTTTAGAGATACCGATGAGAATGAAAAGGATTTTTTTTTATTCCAGGAGATATTTTTTTAATTGCCTATTTTCAGCTTTTCAATAACATGTCCTTGTGATTTACTTTACAAATAAAAATTACAGATTAGTTTTTTTTTAAAAAAAAAAAAAAGCTGCGTTGAGCACATGCCTGTTTTGTCAACTAAATTACAAGTTTATTAAAATAATTTCTATAAGCAGTAGTGCTTAGTTAAGTATAAGCTTGTTTAATGAGTTTGTTGGTATGATAACCAGCCTGTCTCAAGTAACATGCTATTGTTCCCTTGTTTGCAGTTACGGAGTTACCACCAGAGTGACTATATTTACCTCTTGTGGTCTAGTGAGCATTTTCATAATTTAGAAAGGTAATGGATATAAACTAATGGCTTGAAACCTTCACATAACTGTAATTCACAGGTGTGAAACAAAATAGAGCAGTGTAACACCTGAAAATGTGATTAGCCAGCAAACGCCTTACCTTTGTGTCGGGGTCACGTAGCTATTATCGTAAGCCTCATAGGTCTGGTCATCGTATTCACCCCCATAGCCATCATCGTACCCCTGAAATATAAAGCAATACAGTAACTTTTACAAATCAGTCTGCTTGGATTGGGTTTTGTTTTCTAAGGATTTATACCCCATAAGCTTGGGTTAATTTCCATTCTTCGTTATATTTGACTATATTTACAATTTCCACATAATGAAAAACATTGTAGTTTTTTCCTGCACTTTTTTGCAACATTTGTGCTTTTTTTAAGAGAAAGAAAGAATATGAAGTCAGGTGGGTAAGGAGGGGGTGGATCTGAGTGTAGTTAGGAGAGGGGAAAGAATATGAACAAAATATATTGTATAAAATTACTTAAAAACGAAATATATAAAAAGATTTAATACTTGTCAATGTTTAGGAGCTAGAGAGATAGCTCTTTTTACAGAGGCCTCTATGTTCATGTTCCAGCATCCACACTGGGCATAACCCAAGTTCTAGGGGGCTCTTCTAGCCTCAGTGGGTAACTGAAGTCATGTGCACAAACCCACACACACAAAGATACACACACGTAGACATAATCACAAATGAATAAATCTAAGGAAAATAAATTTTGAGTATCTAGTAACACGAGCCTAATGGTGGAATAAAGTATTGGTGGCAATCCGACTCAAAGTATTATTTTCTTCTAATAACCACTATTTTTAAGACAGAAAACCTAAAGTATAGTAGCCTTAAATTGTGATCAGTTTTCAGGGATAAAATAGTGTGGGGGGGTCATTATTGCAAAAGTAAATAAATAAATTAATGAACAAAGAAAAGAAAAGATGAGAGATTAAAATGATTAAATACAGTACTTTTAGTTTGTTGTAAACTTCATTGATTTAAATCTCCTGAGTAACGTTGTGTGCCAAGTCTGATTAAATTACTCCGACAAGATGACTGGAGATTTGTCATTCTCGAGTGTGCAAGCAAGCGAGCATGTTGCAGCTATCAATCACTCTGTGAGCGCTCCAGTTTTTTTTTTTTTTTCCCTTTGTGGTCTTTGACTTTACACCCTATCCATTCATCTTCACTGCTCCCCAGTTCTGCTTCTAGATCTTTGCTGGAGCGATCTTCTCCCAGAAACATGCTTCCACCCAACCCAACCAGTTCATACCATCACTTCACTCTGGAGACTTACAAATCTCATTTGCACCAGAAATAAAAACTGAAAGTTGCAATTGTTTTAAAAATTGCTAAACTTTCACACACATCTTAATTAATTTTTTTTGAAACCAAGTAATCTGAGTAATCTGAAGGCTAGTATTTTATCACTGAGGGAAATATTTTCTTAATTTTTGAAAATTTAATTTTTTCCTTTCTTCCATCCAGTTTTCCTCTATTTGATGCTACTGTTTACACATAGCATATTCTGAGTCTAAAATCCGTGTCTTTAATTACCTCATTTGTTTTGATGTCATTATAATTTTGTAGTGAAATAAGAGTTCTTCCATGAGATATTTAAAGTATTTTAATTCAGCTACTCTTTAATTTTTTTAAATGAGATATTCCAAAGTCATCAGAGTAGTATTCATTAAACAAGTTTTGCAATTAAAAATCATTTATAGTACAATAAAGGATTTACATAAGAATTATTTGAAGAACACTGAAGGGTTTGTGTCAACAAGGTGGTAGGAATTATGTTTCTGGTTCTTCTCTGATGTACAATTCTCTTTCAGCCCCGATATTACTTCGTTGTCCTCTGGTTCACATAGATGGGCTGCTAGGCCTGAAAGTGGACAGGTTTTCTAATTTCTCTTTGTTGTAGCACCCACTGGCCTCAAACTCATAGCAATCCCTCTGTCTCATGACTTACCATGCCTGGCTCCTAAGACCTGTTTACCAGAGTTCCCTTATAACAGATTCATCTTTTTCTTCATTTCACCATTTTGTTGAAAATTTCCTCAGGAATTCCTACTGTCAGGGTTCTTGAGAGATTCTTTTACATCCTCCCGTTTCTTTTTTATTCCATCTCCTCCCCAACCTAGTTTTTTTTAGGGGCAGAAGGTGAAAATCATAATTGTACAAAAAAGGTAAAATGATAACATGATAGAAACTCCCCTATCCTTTACCTGCTGATTTGCATATTGCTGGCATCTTACCTACCTGTATTATTATATATTATATTATATACACACGCAGTTTTAAATCACTTGCAAATCAATTTTAGAAACATAGATAGGCTATAATTTCAATAATAGTCATAATCTAATAATGGTTTTACATGATTTTGTGAGAAAAGACATAGTTTATTGCTTTTAGTAACAAATATATTTGGGAAACATAGCATAAAATTTAAAGACATGATATTTTATTGCTTTCAAGATTATTCATGTAGTTTCTGACATACATAAACTATTATAACATTGATTCATTACTTCTTAGACTTCTTGAAGTTAATATATGGTTGATGGAAGTCAGTGTGGTAGTTGGAATGAGAATGTCCCCACCATAGGCTCATAGAGTTGAATGCTTCGTCACCAGAAAGTGGCATTATTTGAAAGGAGTAGAAGGTGTGGCCCTGAAGGAAGTGTGTCACTGAGAACGGGCTTTGAGGTTTCAAAAGCCCAAGGCAGGCCCAGTATCTCTCATCCTGCTGTCTGCGGATCTGGATGTAGAACTCTCAGCTCTTTCTCCAGCACCATGTCTGTGTGCAAGCTGCCATGCTCCCTGCCATGAAGATAATGGACTAAACTTCTGAAACCGCAAGCATGCCCCAGTGAAATGTTTTCTTTTATAGAGTTGCCTTGTTCATGGTGTCTCACCGCAGCAATAGAACACTGACTAAGACAGTCAATGAAGCATGTTCTTTTGTATGCTAACAAAAAAATTAAAATAAAATCATGGGAACAAGTTTAGGAAAAATAATTTTCAATTAAAATTTTGCAAGTTCTGATTTAATGCTTCCTGTTTATACTACTGCCTATTGATGTTGAGCATGTCTGCTGCTTATACATGATAAAGATTTTATTTTCTTTCACTTTCTGGATGCTTTCCCAATTGTTGGTGGCCTTTCTCTTTGTTGTTGTCTTTTAGGTTTCAGTTGATGTGTGTGAACTGCCTGTGTTACTGATACCTAGTGTGCCGCCGCTCCACAGATGCCCTCGACGCACAATGTAGCCTCCCTGTGTCCACTTTCCCTCAGCCTGCCTGTCTGCTGAATGTGAGTCATGACAGCACATTCAGGTAGAAATTTTTGCTTCAATATATGAGATTATATGCAGCATTTTCTTATCTGTGCTGGCTTATTTAAGTTAATATCTTCCAATTATACCCACTTTACTGCAAATGATAGGATTTCATTCTTATGAATGATGACTCAATAGTAGTACTCCACACACAGAGCTCTACATTTTCATCATGGTCTGCTTTTACATACTTCCTTTCCATTGTTCTGGATACACAAATAGATCTTTTAGTCTAGAGGTTTACATTCTTGCAGGTAAGGACCTCTTAATAAAGATATATCATAGATTAGAACTGTAATGTATCTTTTGGTCCTATGTGATTCTTCTTATTCTTATTTTTACTTGAGGAATTCTTCATATTCATTTTTCAAGTAAAACACTTCACTTCAGTTACACACACATTACTATGGGGTGTGGAGACGACTCCCACAGTGCAGCTAGTTTAAGCAGCCTATTCTTGGCCCAAGAATCATCTTTCTTCTTTGGTGGACAACGTTTCCCAGGCCAGATGGATTTCCCACGAGCCATCATAGAGCATCCCAGGACAGGATCCATGGAATCTACCACTGTGAATAACGAGAGGACTGACCTGGCGTACAACAGGTTTCCAAAGACTTGAGACATCTCTTCCCAAATCTATGTTCTTGATCCTCCACCACCCCTCTTCCCTTTTTATTCAGGATTTTTATACTGTAGCTTTGAGTAGAAAGTAGGGGTTGAAAAGTATTCTAGTATTTTTATCTTGCAGATTAAATTTGTATCCTGTGGAAGCAGCTAGCCAAGTTAGGGGTCAGTGTTTTTATGACTCTGATAGCCTGGGTTTTCTGTTTCTTCTATCTCTATCTGTTGAAATTCTGTTGATTCTTCAAGGTCATATTACATGAAACTGTCTTGAGGAAGTGCTTTTTGCAGTTACCAAGCATATGGTGACCTCTGAGTTATTATGACCTGTTATTTGCTGTAACTGGTACCTACAGTGTCTACACAGATGCTTTATTCATTTTTTTCTATAGTTTTGCAGGTTTTAGAATTTTAACTCCTTTAAAAAGGGGGGGGTATACCACAGTTTACACCTTTTTTAGGCCTGTGGCATTTGATATAGTATATTCCATAGAGTAGTCATCTGATAAATCTATATTGAGTTGCTAATATAGCACAGAGAATATTCTTTTACAAGGTGGATACAGTTTGGCTCAAATCCATCAAAACCAAAGAGAAATACTTCAGGTGGTAGGATTTAGCAGTATCACCCTGCCCTGCCCACTCCCCCTTTCCAAAATACTATGAACTCCTCTGGGAGCCACCTCTGGGAAGACCGCTGGATTTTATATTCACCTGTACACTTTTACTTTTGTGAAAATCTTACACAGAAAATTCTTAGAACAGAGATATAGTTTCCCTGTTAATCCACAATTTCATAAAGCGTAAGGTTCAATTGTTCCCATTAATTAGTTACTAATGAAGAAAAATAAAAGTTAACATATACACATTTATTTTTGTTTTCTAATACTTGGCATATATTTGAAAACAACTTTTAGTATCAAGGTTTTATAAGCATGAATGTTCATTAGTGTGGTTTTTTTTTTGTATGTAGATGTTTAAAATAAACAGTTCTGCAAAGCAGCAAATGGCCACTAATTAGTTCACAGTCACATAAACAATGTGTTTGCCAATATTCCATCCTAAACATTCAAAACAAAATCATAAATTATTCATAGGGAAGTCCTCCCCGCATAAACCTGGCTTTCTGAAGGAGATGGAAGAAAATAAGAGAGTGTTCTAGAAACTGGACATGGAGGTGTGATAGCACAACCGAAGGGGTGATCACTCCAGCTTCATCCTGCCTT